TTTCTTCTTTTCCCTCTGTCCTGTCCTTTACCATCTGCGCTACAGAGATCAGTACTGGGGCCTGGGGTATGGGGATGGAGAGTGCATAGAAGTAAAAGGTGTCTGGTAAATTAATTGTCAAGCCCAAGGAAAATGCCCAAGAACTAAGCCGAGAATGTGAACACATTACTAGATCACCTGAAACTTGACAACTTCCCTCGTCATCCATCTTCCCGTCCTCCTCATTCCCACCCAGCAAGGCTCCAGTCCAAATAGCCCTCTCCAGCCTCTCTCCCAAGAGCCTGTGGGCAGAGGCTGCCCCCCACCCTGGCCCACCTTGTGCCGGCCTTCGTGTCCAGCTGTCCCTCATCACTCTCCTTCCTGTGGTCTTCCAGCTGCCCCCGACTGCCCTGGTCAGTGGGTCCTACTGGCTTGTTTTCTGTTGCAGGACCACCTTCAGCAGTGCTTATTTCAAGCTGTGCAATGTGCTAATGAGAACTGTGGGGAACTAGTCTTGCGGAAGGATCTGAAAGAGCATCTGAGTGCATACTGTCAGTTTCGAGAGGAAAAATGTCTTTATTGCAAAAAGGATGTGGTGGTAATCAATCTGCAGGTAACAAAACAAAACAAAAGCCAGTCATCCTGTGGGGCCGCCTTCTGCCTGAGTAGTCACCATGAATCAGGTAGAATCCCAGAAACACAGTTTTGCATCTATTTTTGTACAAGAGCAGGTCTAAAGAGTTAGCTGACCTGAGAATTCTGTGAGAAGCTTAGGACCTTCTCATTAGCTGGACTCTTCATTTGTCATTGGCAAAAATATTATTCAGCCACCTGCTCAGTGAGAGTGATGCCAGATGCAAGGTCACAAGAAGGTGGCAATAATGCCTACCCTCCATATTCTGTCTTCTAGTTGGAAAGGCAGGAGATAGGCATAAAAATAGGATGTGGGTGGGGCTAGCCAGAGGCATGATGGTTAAGGCGCTGGGCTCCCCCATGGCTGACTGTGGGATGAGTCTTGAATCTGGTGGCTTGAAAAATCATGCTGGATACATGTGCATGCATGCCCAAAATCCTGAGAGGAGAATGGGCAGAAGGGATTGCAGTGTGGCCATCTCCCCTGGGCAGTGATTTCTCACTTTGCCTCTCTGTTTCTATCTTTCTCTGTCTGTCTGTCTCTCTCTCTGGTGCGTGCCACAACCTTGGTCAAAAAAAAAAAAAAAAAAACGTGTGGGCATCTCACATGTAACAATATCCCCCAGTTTGCATTCTTTTGAGTATTGGGCCCTCTGACCTTATTTTGAATAATTAGAAATTTTAATTTATTTTTTGCTACAGGGCATGTATGCTCGCCAGAGAGAGACACAGAGAGATAGTAAGAGTGAGAGTAAAAATGATAAATCACCCTCCAAGGTGGGATAGCCAAGCTGCAATCCCTTCTCCATTCTCCTCTCAGGAGTTTGGGCATGCACACACACATGTCCAGTATCATTTTCAGGCAGTTGGGTTCAGGACTTGAACCATGCAGTCAGCCATGTTGGGGAATGAGTGCCTTAACTACCATGCCACCTGCTGTCCCCAAAATTTAATTTTTCAATTAAATTCTTTTACATCAAGAAAGCAGACATCTCTAATCCTTTTTTGGAACTAGGCCATAACCTCCTATACAGGGTAAATCACATGTTACATATCCCCAAAGAGACATGCGTGTGAATACTTCGAAGCCACCAGAGAGAACCATGGGCTTGTTTCATTACCTGTTCTCTGTTTCAGAATCATGAGGAAAACTTGTGTCCTGAGTACCCGGTGTCTTGCCCCAACAAGTGTGTGCAGATTATTCCAAGAATGGAGGTAACTGTAAATATTCCTCTCTGTAGATTTTGTGTAAGATACAGATTTCGAAATCACTATGGTTCATGTTTGAGAAAACCCCACAAGCAGAGGCCTAAGGCTTCCGTTAACTCAGGATCATTGTGTCCGAACTCCCTGCAAACTGTGCTCCATTTTCATCACAGCCTGTCCTTCCTTGCCAGCCCGGGTTCCCTCTCCAGGCCCCCTCCCTTCTTCCCCACCCTCCCTTGGTTCCCTGCTTGCTGCAGAGAGACAAGGCCATTGGAAATCAGTGGTAAATTTCGATAGCTTCAAGTTGTCCCTTTTGTAGGTGAATGAACACCTTGCAGTGTGTCCTGAAGCCGAACAAGACTGTCCTTTTAAACACTATGGCTGTCCTGTAAAGGTATGGAATACCTTTTTTGTTTTTGTCTCTATATTCTACTGTGTAATTTATTTGCCAGGTTTATTTTACCCTTTGATTCTGTTTAGGATGCAGAAGGGCATCTAATTCTCAAAACTTTAAGGCTCTTAATTATATTAGGGTTCTCTAGAGAAAAAATATAAAATATATCATGTTCTGTATTATTCCATATTTTCTGTAAATCTAAAAATCTCTTAATTAAAAAGTTTATTTAAAAAAATCATAAATGCCTGAACAAGGCCCCTTGGACTCAGATAAAAACTCTTCGCCCAAGTTCCTCTTTAGCAACCCATTTTCCAGGACCCCTCCCTTCTTGGGAATTCTGTTCTTCCTTCCCTCTCCTTCAGTAAATTCTCTGCTTTGTTATACAAAAGCAACAACAACAACAAAACCATAAATGCTAGGAGAAAAGACATGTGATTTTTATTCTCAAAATAAAGAAACCTGGGACCAGCAGATGGCGTAATGGTTACATCACTGGACTCCCACATGGTCGATTGTGGTTCAAGTCCTGGCCCCAGCACGCCTGGTGTGAATTTAAGCCACTGGGTCTGGGACTTGAACTGCAGTTGACTACATGGGACTTCAGCGACATAGTCATTACGCCATCTGCTGGTCTCCACTTTTTTTTTTTTAAATTTTTCAGGGGGCACATGCACTTGCCAGGGAGAGGCAGAGAGGGAGCATCCTTCCCCACATGGGACATGGTCATGCCACAATCCCTTCTTCATTTCTCCCTCCTTTTGGGATTTTGAGCATGCACATGCACGTGCTCACACAAACACCACCACCACCACCACCACCACCACACACACACACCTTGCATATTTTTCAAACCACTGGGTTGGGATTTAAACCATGCTACCAGCTGTATGGGATCCAGCTGCCTTAATCACCATTCCACTTGCTGACCCCGCAAATATTATTAGGAGAAAAGTAACCATTTCCTGTAAATATAGTCAATGATTTTGAAGACAACAAATACGCACAGGCTAGAATAAATGTCAGGTTGCATACCTTCTTTTTGTGTGTTTGAAGACTGAGTCTGGATGTGTTGAGTGCTTCCTGCCTCATCCTCTTGAGTCGCTGGGATTATAGCACATGCCGGTATGCCTGACCTTCAGATTGGACCAGGAATTAAACCTTGGCATCCCATGTGGTCCCAACCCGTGGAGCACAAACTCTTAGCAGTGTGGCCTACCACGGCAGGACATGGTACATACTTCTGCCCATGATCACTGGGTGGTGAAGGGATGCAGCATAGAGAACCAGCCTCAACCTCAAACTGGTCTGGAGATAATCCACCAAGGAGACAGGTTTTATGTGGAAATTAGTGAGATGATGATAACCACACATAATCACTGTCATATATAGTCATAAACACTCATATACTCCCAGGACAAGGAAAGAAATCAACACTGAGAACTTTGAGAGTGACAGGTGCTGTAAAATCCTAAATCTGGAAAAGGGACCCAGTAGAGTAATTTTTCCTGTAATCTACCTAGAGATGGGTGTATCTTTAAATAAGTAAAGTAGCAGGGCCAGCAGATGGCATAGTGATTACATTGCTAGACTCCCACATGGTCAACTGTGGTTCGAGTCCTAGACCTGGTGGCTTAAAATTCACACCGGGCATGTGTGCGTGCATGACCAAGATCCTGGGAGAAGAATAGAGGAAAAGGAATTGTGGTGTGTCCATACCCCCTAGGGGGTGAGTTTTCACTTTCTCTCTCACTGTCTCTGTCTTTATCACTGGCAAGTGTACACGCCTTAAGGCTAAAACTTCTAAATAAGTAAATAAGTAAAGTAGCAAAGTTGTGGGACTGACAGGTGGTGTGGTTAAGAGGGCTGGATCCCACATAGCCGGCTGTGGTTTGAGTCCTGGACCTGACAGCTTGAAAAACTTGCTGAACATGCATGCATGCATACCAAAATCCCAAGAGGGGAATGGAGAAGGGATTGTAGCGTGGCCATCTCCCCAGGAGGGAGGGATTTATCACTTTATTTCTCTCTCCTTATCTCTCTCTGCAAGTTCACACACCCTATAGAAAATGTAAACAACAACAAAAAAGTAGCAAAGTTGTTAAGTTTGCATTCACAGAATTCTCATTACTTCTCTTATTTTGGGAGCCTCTCAACAATGACTTCTATTTATTTTTTTTGAGAGTTTTTTTTGCTATAGGGTGTGTGCGCTCGCCAGAAAGACAGAGTCAACCATGACTTATTTTTCTCTTTGTATTGAAGGCTAAGCGGGGAAACCTGCAGGAACATGAGCATTCAGCCTTGCGGGACCACATGCTTCTGGTTTTAGAGAAGAATTTCCAGTTAGAAGAACAGGTAAATCTCCAAGTTTCAAATGTAAGGGAAGGCAGCAGGTGTGCTGGAATTTGTAGACTCTATGTTGGTATTTTTATATTCTCTGTTTCAGTATAAGTTGATTGGAGAGATGTTTTTATACTAAGTACTCAAACTGGCTCATAGTATTATAAAACATTCAAAATGGAAAGGACCTTTGAGGTCTTGGGGTCTACCCCATTCAGCAGATGAAGTAGCTAAGCTTTTAACTTACAAGTGGTAGAATTCAAATCTCAAACATGTGTCTTCTGACTCTAAGTCAGTGTTTCCTGTATAGACCATGGTCACCTGTAGAACCTATCCACACATCTTTTGGTTAATAACAGGCACTTAGTAGGTATTTGATGTTTTTAACTTAAATCACTATTTCTATGAAACATCAGTTGACTCTCTGTTGTAGGCACTATGGGTTTTATAAATTTTATAGTAAATCTAAATTCTTGCTTTGAGAAGATTTACAATTTGATAAATGTATCAGATAGACTTATTTTACTAAGCTGTAATTATGAAGCAGAATTACAGTAGTCCTAGATTGAGAAAATGTGGCACATGTACTCTCTGGAATATTACTTAGCCCTAAAAACACAATGAGACCCTAAATTTGTTTTAATAATTATTTTATTTTATTATTACTATTATTATTTAATTTGTTATAGGGCACATGTGCTCACCAGAGAGAGATGAAGAGAGAGAGAGAGAGAGAGAGAGAGAGAGCAAGAAAAAAATAAGAAAGCAAGCCGCCAGGTCTGGGGCTCAAATCGCAGTCGGCCATGTGGGAGTCCAGCACTCCAACCACCATGCCACCAGCTGGCACCAAGACCCTGACCTTTGATACAAAGTGGACGAATGTGGAAGATTTAATGCTAAACGAAGAAAGCCAGACTATGAAGGACAGACATTGTATGTCCCTGCTTAATATTAATATATACCCAATGCACTTTAAGCAGAAACTGAAAGACTGGAAGGTATAGTAGCAGGAAGGGCAGTTGTGGGTATTAGAGACAGTATAGGAGAGGGTGGGTAATAAAGAGTGGATAATAGGGAGTGGGAGGGAGGGAGTCAGGGAAAAAAACAAAGCATTTAATAAACACAAAAATGACGTTATCTGTTGATGATAATGTCTTTTTTTTTTTTTTTGAGAGGTTTTCGCTATAGGGTACGTGCACTCGCCAGACAGACAGACAGAGACATAGGAGACAGAAAGTGAGAAATCACCCCCCAGGGGGGATGGTCACACCGCAGTCCCTTCTCCTCCATTCTCCTCTCGGGATCTTGGGAACGCACGCACTCGCACCAGGTGTGAGTTTTAAGCCACCAGGTCCAGGACGTGAACCACGGTCGACTACGTGGGAGTCCAGCGACATAGCCATAATGCTAACTGCTGGTTCCCGATAATGTCTTAATATATGGTAATACCTTTGACTGGACTGATATGCGCTGTATTCATGCCAGGAAAAGCCATGTTGTACACTGTAAAGATGTGCAGTGAGTAAATGCAAATTAGGAAGAAAACAAAAACAGAATTACACTAGTCCCTCCTTATGCATGGGGAATGCGCTCCCAAGTCCCCCCATGGATCCCTATAGATAGTGCTAAAACTTAATTGTTTTCTTTTTTTTTTTTTAAATAGATTTTTGCTACAGGGTGTGTGCACTTGCCAGAAAGACAGAGACAGAGAGACAGAAAGTGAGAAATCACTCTCCAGGAGGGATGGCCACATCACAGTCCTTTCTCCTCCATTCTCCTCTCAGGATTTTGGGCACACACATGTAAGTGTCCAGCATGAGTTTTATGCTGCGGGTTCGAGACTCAAACAGTGGTTGATTACATGAGAGTCCAACGACGTAACCATTATGCCATCTATTGGTCCCAGTACTGAAATCTGTTGTTATTTTATTTTAACTCTATTTATTTATCTTATTTATTTATTTTAATTTGACCAGAGAGGGACAGAGAGAGAGAAAGAGAGAGAGAGATAGTGAGTGAGTGAGTAAGGAGGCGAGCCACCAGGTCCAGGACTTAAACTGTGGTTGGCCATATGGGAGTCCAGCGCCCTTAACCATCATGCCATCTGTTGGCCTCTCAGTACTGAAACTTTTGTATACAATATTTTTTACTGTATATACATATATGTGATAAAGTTTAATGAATGGATTAAGCACAGTAAGAGAGAAACAATCATCAATAAAAATAGAACAATTATAATATGCCTTAATGAAATTTATGTGAATATGGTGGGTCTCTTTTTCTGTCTCAAAATATCTTACTATGCTGTACTGTGGGTAAATGAAACTGCAGAAAGGAAAACTGCGTAAGGGGGGACTACTGTGTAAGTGCAAGTCTGTATAATGCTGGCCTTAGTGCCTGGGATGTTCATAGTAGACCTTAGTAAATGCTAGGGCTATTGAGCAATTATTATGAAAGTTAATTATTGTTAGAACATCTCAGAAGATCAGACTTTTCAAGCCTGTATAGGGAAGAAACTTCATTTGCAGACAGGTTGCTGAATTTAACCACCGTAGGTTATTTTATGATGTCTGATTTCACATTAAAGTAGATATGTGAATTTCAGGGTCAGATGCTGCAGAAAATTGGAAATTGATTGAATAGTAATTTTGGTAAAAATGCAAGGTATATTCCCAAATTCTTCATGTGTAATTGTTACATTGATCTATCCATTCATTGCGCCAATAAACACCATGTCGGGTACAATGTTTGTTGCTTGGGACCTGAGTGAAGGAGGGCATATCCTCCACCTTGAAGAATGCACAGAAATGTAAACAGACAAGTTGCTGTGCTTCATAGGACATGCTGCAGGGTGGAGACTGCCGTGGTCTGCTCTCGGGGAGCTGGGGCGGGCTCGTCAAGGTAGAACATCCAAGCTGTATCTTGACAAAAGAAAAGGCTTGTCAGTTGAAATGTTGTGGAGGAGGACATCAGAAGAGGAGAGGTTGTATCAAAGCAAGAAAACCCGAGAAATGCTGATGGATCAAAGAAGTGGGCATTTAGCGTGAATGGACTCCCCAAGGGTGAGATAAGATTTCTGGAAACTGGTGTTGCCAGGTGGCAAAGGCCTTCCATATTAAGTGAAGAAAAAATTTTTAATATTATTTTATTTAACTTTGTTTACTTATTTTAATTTGATCAGAAAAGGATGGGGTTGGAAAGGAGAGTGATAAAGCAAGCTGCCAGGTTCAGGACTCGAACTGCAGTCAGCCATGTGGGAGTCCAGCGCCCTTAACCACCACGCCACCTGCTGGTCCTAAGCTAAGAAATTTGAAACATTCTGCAGTCAGTTAGTTTTTAAGTCATTCATACTCTGCCTTCTTTCAGAATGAATTTAGGACCAAAGTTTGAACACATGTTTGTCAGTAATAGGAAGCTAGTGGAGGTTTCTAAATAGGAAAAGACTTGGCTATATAAGTTGGTTTGTTTTTTATAGTGAGATAGCTGGTAATAGAATGACACTTAACCAGAGAGGGCTCTCTAGAGCCATAACGCCTGGGTCTGCACCTGGCTCCACACTAGTCATAAGAGTTTAAGCCAAGTATTTCAGAAATCTCTTCTCCAGTTTCCTCATTTGTAAATGGGGTTGTGGTGAAGGTAAAATGAGATAATATAGTTAAGCTCTTAGCACAGTCCCTGGCACATAAAAAGCATTTCAGCAATAGGTGAAAGCTAGATAGTGGAGGAGGTAGTGGTAATGAGGGCTCAACTACAGCCATACCAGTAGGATGGAGAGAGGGTGTGGAGAGACATTCTGGGTTGAAAGAAAGTTGGGCGAAAACATGGAATGCTATTGACCGAGACGGGCACCACACGAACAGGAGCAAGTTAGAGATAAGGGTAGGAGAGAAGACACTGAGTTTGCTTTTGTTCGGGTGGTTAGGTGGAAATCTAGGGGCCTAGATAGAGGATTCTAGAGTCAGAGATCAAATAGTTGTTGTAGCCATTTGCACATTTGTTTATAAAACATACATCAAATGTCCTTTGTGTATCAGGCACTGTGCTAGGCTCTGGGGATAAAGAAATAAGTAAGATGTGGTCTCAAGAAACAATTTAGAGGAGGGAAAAAAAGACCAAAGCAACAATCAAAATGCAAGTTATAAAAGTGATGTTATTCACTAGAGTATGAATGGGGTACTGTGGACCGTGATGGGTGGTCTGGGTAGGTAGTACTAGTGAGGCAGATGTGCCCTTGAGGAGAGGTGGACTGTCTAGATGAAGAGGGAGGTATTTGAGTGAGCAGGACTTGCTGGGATGTAGGCGTCATATGGCCTTGCCAGGCAGAGCACACTGGGGAGAGACTGAAAGCTAGCCAGGGGCAGACCATGCAGGACCTGGAGTGGCCTTTATAGAAAGCCACTGAGTGTCAAAGCAGGGAAGGGCACAATACCAGATTTTCTTAACATTATTGTGGTCACAGTATGGAGAATGAGTTGGAAAAGAACCAGACTAAAGACAGGGAGAGCATTCGCTCATTTAACAAACACCCAGCACCGACTGGTGCCAGGCTCCAGTCCATTTGCTGGGGCTGTAGGGGACTGTGAGAGCCATGCCAGTCCCCGCTCCCTGTGGTACTTGCATTCTGGTGTGTGTCAAGGTTACAAGGGATAATGTAGGCCCAACTTAGAAGCTGCTGTAGCCATCCAAGTGAAAAATAATGAAGTGCTAAAGAAGATGAGATGAAATGAAAAATGAATGTGAGAGTTTTGTCTTATGTGTTAGGAGTTAAAGGTGGCAGATTGGATGGATGTGGCGATAAGATAAGTGTTGTCTAGGATCATGCTTAGGTTAATAGGATACAAATTCTGAGTAAACACACTATCCATATGTTTTGCCTTCTACTTGGCTTGCTGGTTGTGTGCTAGATGGGTTATTTTAACTGTTTTCTCATCTGAAAAATAAATGACTATTCGTACCTAACTCCTAAGGTTCTTTAAGGATTAAAAGAGCTAGTGAATATAAGGATTTTAGACATGTAAAAAATTACAGCTATTATTTTTATTGACACTATTTAACATCCACTATGCTCAGTATCCTGTGGTTGTTTGATAAGTACATACTGAATGAAGAGGACCAGTTCAGTAAATTCAGTCAAGTGAAGTCACTATCATTAGGTGAACCATCATGGTGGATTCAACATAGAAAAAGCTGACTTAAAATTCTGTGGATCTGATTTTTGGAATAACCTGCGAATATTTTTCTAGAATTACATGGGAGTCCGTCCACCTGTAAATATTTTCTTAGAAACTTGTGTGTGTGTGGGTGTGTGTGTGTGTGTGTGTGTCTGTGTGTCTACACAGATATTTTCATTGAGAAAGTCAGGTATTTTCCTAGAATGACATGGGAATCAACCTGTAAATATTTTTCTGGAAATGTGTGTATGTGCACGCACGCACATGCATGTGCGTGTTTATTGTTGGGAAAGTCATGATGTGTTTTTATTTTTCTATGTTTTTCAATGCAAAATGTGTTTTTAAGGCTGGCATATGGTGTGGTGGTTAAGGTACTGGACTCCCAATGCCTGACTGATTCGAGACCCGAACCTGGTGGCTTATTTCTTCACTTTCCCTTTGGTCAAGTTAAAAATAAATAATTATGACAAATTTAAAAAAATTATTTAATTTTTTAAATACATTTTGACTTTCCCAGTGACCCAATATTTATATTTTCTGAGAAACTATTTTTTACCTGCAAGTAGTGTTTTAACTTGTATGCATGCATCTCAGTGACCTTATTTGCATTCCCGTTACTAGATTTCTGACTTATATAGGAACCTGGAACGCAAAGAAAGTAAAATCCAACAGCTAGCGGAAACCGTGAAGAAATTTGAGAAAGAGTTCAAACAGGTTGCACAATTGTTTGGCAAAAATGGAAGCTTCCTCTCAAACCTCCAGGTGAGAAATGGCCATCCCATTCAAGACCAAGATTTGGCTTTCATTTGGCACTGAGGACTTTTCTTTTAATTTTTTAAATGGAAATAATTTCAAATATATATAGAAAAGCTGCAAGAATAAAATGGCGCAAAGAATACCTAAATGTCTTTCAGCCATTGTCAACATTTGTCCCTTTGTGTCATCATTTGTACTCTTTCACTCCCCCTCATCCTTCCATGTGTGTCTGTCTGTGTTTTCTTTCTGAACTATTTGAGAGTACACTTCATATACTATAACTCCTTATCGCTACATACTTCAGTATGTATTTCGTAAGAAATTTTTTCCTATAACCCCAGTACATTTAGCAATGTCAGTAAACTTAACATTGATACAATACTTTTTTATAATTTATGGTACTTAGAATTTTAATTAACATTGGGCCCATAAAATCTCTTGATTTCAGATTCATTGAGAGCATCTGTAGTTTTGCAGTTTTTTAATCAGCCAAGTGTAACTATTAATTCCATTAGGAAGAAAATGTTTTAAACATTATTACAGTATAGCAAAATATTGCTTTGTAAATCATGATTGTTAAATAATCATAAGTTAATTTCTAATGAATAATATTTTTATCTGAATCATAAAATTTACAGTGAAAAAAATTTCAAGACATGAGCAATGTATTTGAAATCTGGATTATCTCAGAAAATCTAGGGCATATATCTAATTTTCATATATACACAGTATATGTGTATGTTTATATATATACACATATGCATGTATGTGTACAAGGGGACTTCAGAAAGTTTGTGGGAAAGTGAGATTAAAGTACAAGTTTATTTTGGTGCAAAAAAAGTTTAAAGTCCATGAATAATTTTTTCATAATATATGCATTTTCCATTAACTTTTTTTTGAGACTTTTTTGTTTGTCTGTTTTGTTTTGTTTTTGTTGTTTTTTACTATAGGGTACATGCACTCACTGGAAAGACAGAGAGACAGAAAGCGAACAATCATCCTCCAGAGGGGATAGCCATGCTGCAGTCCCTTCTTCATTCTCCTCTCAGAATTTGGGGCATGCACAAACACGCATCTGGTGTGAGTTTGAAGCTACCAGGTTTGGGACTTGAATCACAGTCAACTGTGGGCGTCTAGCAACATAACCATTAGGCTATCTGCTGGTCTCTTCCATTAACTTTTTGAAGATCACTTGTGTACATTTAGTCATGTGTCATTTAACAATAGGGATATGTTCTGAGAAATGTGTCATTAGGTGATTTCATTGTGCAAACATCGGCATATACTTACACAAATGTAAATTATATGACCTACTCCACACCCATGCTACTTGGTACAGCCTATTGCTCTTAGACTACAACTGTAGCTATACTGAATACCGATAGGCAATTGTACAATGGTATTGGTGTATCTAGACATAGAAAAAATACAGTAAAAATATGGTATAAAAGCTAAAAAAATGATACACTGGAATAGGGCACTTGCTGTGATTGGAGTTTTCAGGACTGAAAAGTTGCTCTGGGTATACCAGGGAGTGCATATAAAGACCTAGGACATCACTGTTCCCTGTTGTAGACTTTATCAACACTGTATACCTAGGCTATCCTAAATGTATAAAAATACTTTTTTCAATAATGAATTTTTGTGGGGAGTGGCCAGCAGGTGGTGTGGTGGTTAAGGCACTAGACTCCCACATGACTGACCACAGTTCAAGTCCTTGACCTGACGACTTGCTCTCTCACTTTGCCTCTTTTTCTTTCTCTCTCTGGTGAGTACACATGCCCTGCAGCAAATTAAAAATAATAATAAATAAATCTTTAAAAAATAATAATATTTTTTAGAGGTTTTTTGCCCTAGGGCGTACATGGTTACCAGAGAGATAGTGAAAGGGAAAGTGAGAAAGCATCCCCTAGGAGAATAGCCACACCACAATTTGTTCTCTTCTGTTCTCCTCCTGGGATTTTGAAAACACATGCACATACACCCAGCATGTTTCAGACTGGGACCCAAGCCATGGTTGACCATGTGGGAATCCAGCAGTATAACCGCTACGCCATCTGTTGGTCCCAGCAGTCTTCCTTTTTAAATTTCTTGATACTTCTGTAATAAAACAGTTTGGTATTCTTTCTTGATATCCTTCTTCAATAAGCTTTTTTCTTTTTTCCCAGAGTTTAGGACTTTTAAAAAAAAACTTGTCTTAAAGTCATCAAAGCAAAAATCATGACAAAACGTTCTGCTTTCCTTTACAATTCCCCAACGCTAAAAAAAAACTATTGTAGGGGAAATAAATGGTTTTGTACACGAGATAAAACAATATAAATTCAAAACTTACAGATAAGGGTTAGCTCTATTGCTCATCCCTTTAAAAAATTTATATGAATATCCAATCAAAACTAACAAGAGGATCTCCCTTGAAACGTTATTTCTACGGCTTTCCAAGTAGACCACAGGACTGCACACTGTCTTGAACTGTCCTCAGAAGGCTCTGTCAGTGATCAGATAACAGAGTAAAAATCGCTTTCAAATGGAAGAGGGAAGACAGAGGGACAGAGAAACTATTCAAATTTCATCTTCTTTCCTTGTGACTTATGGTCTCCTCCTCCTTCCCTCCTCCTTAGAAACCACCTCACCCTCCAAAGCCTCCTCGGCCTCTGCCATCAAATTCACTTCTGCCTCCACCTCAGCCTCCAAAGCCTCCTCTGTCTCCACCACAACCCCCGAAGCCACCTTCACCCTTAGGTTTGGCCCCAGTCCAAGGTAACTTTGTTTCCATCAACTTCACCGTCTTCCATGGCCTCCTTGGCAGCTTTGGCATCTTCCTCACTGTTAAAGTCTACAAAATCAGACCCTTTAGAGGATCCTATTTCTTGGTCAGTGACTATCCTTGCACAAATAGAGCCATCAAAAGACTCCTTTAATGTCTCTTCAGTGGTATCCTCAGACAGACCTTTGACAAACAAGAGTTTTGGAGGGCTGACTTCTTGCGTTAGGTGATCCCCTGGGTCCTTGCAACTCCAGCCTGACTGCTCTGCCTTCAATTTCCCTTTTATTACAGGAATTTAAAGCTTCTTTAACATCTTTAAATGAAGCGGATTCTATAAATGCATATCCTTTAGGTTTGCCATCTTGGCTCTGAGGCACTTTGATAAAAGTTGTCTTCTCAAATATTTTCTGAAGTCTTTCCTTAGTTGCACTGTAGAAGAGGTTGCTCAAAACCAGAGGTTTTTGTTTTTGTTTTTAATTTATTTATTTTAGAGGGTTTTGGTATAGGGCGTGTGCACTTGCCAGAAAGACAGAGAGAGAGAGACAGAAAATGAGAAATCACCCCTCGGGACGGCCACACCACAATCCCTTTTCCTCCATTTCACTCTTGGGATCTTGGGCATGCATGCACATGTGCCTGGCGTGAGTTTAAGCCACCAGATCTGGGACTCGAACAGCGGTCGACTACATGAGAGTCCAGCAACATAGACATTATGCCAACTGCTGATCTCTCAAAACCAGAGTTTTTGATTCACCACTCCAAGTGCTATTCTTTCTACCTCTTACAGTCTTGATTTTGACCCAGTGTAGTATAGAGAAATGGACCGTCCATCAATCTCTATTCCCTGCTTTTCTTTAAAGGTTTTCTCTGCATCAGCTTCTGTCTTAAATTCAGTATAAGCAATCCCTTTACTTTTTCCATCTTTGCTGATTATTCTGATCTCCATGGCATCTTCAAATACTCCTTTTAATTCATCTTGAGTGACTTTGTAGGGGAGATTTTGGGCCAAAAGTGTTCTTGCACCTTGATCTTTCTTATTGTCTTTTCCTTTTGGTTCTCTAGTTGAATTTCATTGCCAAAGACTTTTAAACCAATGAGTTCCAAAGCTTTTTCTAGATCTTCAGATTCAAAGTCAACATAGCCAAACTTCCTAGATGTACCAATTCTGACATCCACAACAGCAAGATCATTTTTAGCAAAAATATCACTACTACCAGTTTTTAATTCAGGAATAGTTTTGTTATTGTTCAAGTTTCCAACAAACAGATGGAAGGATGTAGCTGGTTCTGTGGCTTCTACCTTCTGTTTCTTGGCCTCAGGAGCTGCTTTCTGTTTGGTCATTTCCTTTTGTTCTCCAGAAACTTGACAGGCTCTTCCTCTTCTTCATCTTCCTCATCAACCTCATCTTCATCATTCTCATCTTCATCATCCTCTTCATCTTCAGCCACGGTCTTAGCTTTCACAGGCGCAACTTTTGCAGGAGTTTTCTTTCCTTTGGCTGATGCGGTCCCCATAGCTGTTTCTTCATACTCATCTTCCTCATCCTCCCTCCTCTTCATTCTCCTCTGAGGCTGGGGTGGCAGCTTCTGCTTCCATCACTGCTGGCTCAGATTCATCCTCATCTTCATCCTCATCATTTTCACTGTCTTCTCCTTCCTCCTCATTGCTGTCTTCTTTCTTGGCATTCTTGCCATTCTTTGCCCCCTTGGCTAGGATGGCAGCTCCTTTCTTACCAGGAGTTGCTACCAATGCTTTGCCTGCGGTGGTTCCCTTTTTGCCAGGTGTTGTGACTGCTTTGGCTGTATAACTGTCTTCTTGGATGGTATGGCAGCTGCCTTTTTGCCTGGGGTGACCACTTCTTTCTTGGGTGTGGCAACTGCAACCTTTTTTGTTGGGGAAACTACCACTTACTTTGCTGGAGTTATGGCAGCCCTCTTCTCGCTTTTCTGCGGGTTTTCTGGAGTTGTGGCAGCCTTACCTTTTTACTGAGGGATGATAACCTCTTCTCCACTGCTATCATCATCTTCATCTTCTGACATTTCCTCATCCTCTCTGTCTTCTTCTATCTCCTTTGGAGGAAGAGCCATTTTTGGGGGAGTCACCTTGATTTTTACCAGCCTTAGTGAGTTTCACCATGATGGTGGCTTATGATGGCCGAGTATATAGTGGGCAGATGAAACAGATGAGTCTTGAGGAACTCCAGTGACATTGATGGCAGCCGTGGGCCCATAGATCCTGGAGCATGTATGCTCAGCTACCAGCTGGAGCTTGAGACTCTATAAACTTTCTTCTATTAATTTTTTAAAAAAACTTTTTAAGCGTTTTTGTTCAAATGAAGGATGTAAACACATACATTAGCCTAGGTCTGTCTACTCAGTCATTTGAACAACATTACTACTGCTATGATGTCCCTAAACAATAGGAATATTTCACTTCTACTATAATCTTAGGGGACCACCAGTGTTTTGCAGTCTGTAGTTGAACTAAACATTGTTATGTGGCACATGACTAAATATGTACATGTGTGTGTGTACATACACACACACAGAGAGAGAAATATACACACACACATATATGAGTGTATCCAAGAAAAAAAATCCATCATTTGTTACTATCTCACTTCTGAGCTTTTTGTAATACAAAAACTGATCAGTCAGAATTAAGGCACTTAAGGCAAGGGTGGATAGTCTTAGTTATTCTCTTCTATCTGAGAGAGCAACTGGGTCTTCCCCAGGGACTTCTGCACTAATTGAAGTGTTCAGGCCAGAACAGGTGGTCTCATTCCT